ACCAGTAAAATCGTCATTAAGTCCGACCCTACTGGAGATATATGCGACTATTATTATCTCTTCATTTCTTGACCCTTAACCACTAAAATTTAATAGCATCTATCCCCCTAATAAACAAACTTATTTGCAAAGTTTCAGAAATTTTCGACGAAAAACACGGGAATTATTAAGCTTCAAACAGAGTGAAAAAAATCGTGCCCTCCACACACTAACATCCATACATACAGAAATTACCCCGAATTTTATGCATTTCTCGACGTTTCAAGGTGTACCGAGTCCAAAAATGTAAACATCTTGGGAGATCATATTTTGACCGCTCGCCATACTTTCCCTCTGGTATATATAAAACCCGAGAAAGTAAAAATGACAGAAAACCCATGTCTTCTAGCCTATTCTACAAATATAAAAGAAACTAACAAACTATATTTGTTCATTGTTTCATGCAACTTTGTCATAGGTTGACCAACACTCGGCTCGGAAATAAGGAACGTTCCTCGTTTCCAGGCCAAGTTAGCCCCAATAGCAACTAGTGTCACCTTGTGGGCGCGCCGATTAAACGTAAAATCGTAGTTTGAAGCTTCTTGCGATGCTCTTTTTTATAGCTTATGCCTCCCTTTTCTATAGTCTACGAGCGCCGCTACAAACGTCTATACCCTTATCCAGCATTAATGTCAATTTCTCATCGCGGCGCATTTGCAATTCGGCTTTTTCGCCCGATCCCAAGAGTAAAACTAGCATGTTTATCATGTTTATCCTACCGTCAAAGTCGAGCAACTCGTTATACATTAAATAAAATGGAACGTAGCCAGTGTAGTTTAAATTTTAGTCATAGACAAAGCTTAAACGGGCGTATTAAGGCAACAAACAATAAAGGACGACGACGGCTGTGGAGAAAATATTAAAGTATTTAAATGCATGTTGTGTTTATCTACTTATAAAAAAAAGACAGTTTTTTAATATTGATATTCCCAATGTCAGCATATATTGTTTTATCAGAGACAGTATACGTAGCAAATAGGTTATAATTAAAGTATGGGATATATGTATACAGTATATTATTTATCTTTTCGTCTGTAAGAATCTCGTTTTAATTGAATTGTAAATTGGAAGCGGATTGGACGGGACAATTTAAATGGCTACAAAAAATTACGACAAAACGAAAATACTCGTATATTGATTAATAATTAATTTGTCAAAAAAAAAAAAAATGGCATGGGCAGAAGTAACGACGAATAAAAATGAAACTTGTTATAAACATAAGAGTGGACGTAGGTGGACTTAGGCAGAGTTCGAATGCCGAGTTAGGAAGGCGATTTACTAGTGGTTTCGAGGAGTGGGAAATGTGTTCAATATTCTTGCATTTATATCATTTACAATCTAAGAAACTAATAAAAATCGATAATAGGGATTTGTCTGTTTTTAGTTATCGAGTAGGTATAATTTTTCTAACATGTTTCCTTTTTTTTCACTGAATGATTTATAAAAACTTCCAAGCCACCACAAAGTTATTAAGATCATAAATGACGTCATAAATGGCAGAATACCGAATATCTTTCCACACTTTAAAGTGGTCGGCAAATCCCTTCCTAACACGACCTTTGAACTTTTATCATATAAATGTCGTTATCGCAATCGTTTTAAGTTTCTCTTTCGCTACTACAGTTCCTGTCGAAAGAATGAATTACTCTGAAAAAGTTTATGGTTTCTCGATACCGTACACTTAATTCCAACAATAAAACAGAAGTTTAATAACATTAATATGTATGACAATAAATGATGATTGACAACTTAAATTAACCTTCGGCTTTTTACAACCCTCCTTTCTCCCATTACTACTTTTAGTGTCTTTATTCCACGCCTACGGTAAAAATTCGTTCGCCGAAAGAGTATTTGAACCGATTCTTTTTTAGTTTTAAAATATTTCGCACGTAATTAATTCTTTGGGAATATCAAAGGCGAGACTTTACGTTTTCGTAAGGTTGTTATGGACGACGTCGTCCATTATTTAGAGTGTCCGCTATTTAGAAGTAAATATAATAGATTCTTATTTTAAGGTATCTTGTCTCAGGCAATTTATGCTGTTATATTGTCATTATCATACACATTGTCGGTTCTATTGCTCGGCATGTAACACCACTCTACTCCATGGGTGCATATACTTTTCGTTTTGTATAGATCGATCTGTAAAATCAGATCAGTCCTTGTCACGTGATACAGATAGCTTCTGTCATGGCGGAAAGTATACGAGTANGAAGAACACTCGGATAAGTTTACGTGGCTATCCTTTTGGCGAGGCAGAAACTCTATCAAGTACCAGTATTCGGCCACTGGTTGACATTAGCTATTGGCATCCTTGTAAATTTTTAGTGATGGATAATCAAAACACTCCTAAAAATTCAGAAGAAAATTTTGGGAATTGCAGTCTTTAAATTAGGCAAATTAAAAGTTCTCTATAGAGATGAGACTGTTTCAAATGAAATTACAGTAAAAGCAGTGGAAAAATGGTTGTAGCATAGATACCCTGCCAAAAATCCGCATTGATACCTACCCATACAAAAACATACTTTAAATATCTACTGTAGAAACTAATCATTGAAACTAGATAAAGGGGGGGGCGTTTGTTAATAGCGGTCGCTCTGTGTCTTTGCTACTATGGGAGTGCGCTGACGTTTGTAAGCATGTAGGAATGGCGGTGAAAGAAAGAAAGATGGCGGCGCCCGTACCATCGATAATATCGTGATGGATTGATCTACGTTTTTAAAATACGAGTTTTTAAAGACAAAAGAAGGGTCCCAACTGTAAAATATAACATGAGACAAACAGTGCTTTCGTGAACTTGCCCCACACTGCTCTCAGAAGCGGCCTTGGATCCCGGGACTGACCAACTACAATTGAAGTCTATAGCGACGGGTCTAAGACCAATCAGGGTACCGCTTTTGCATTTGTGGTTTATGTCTGTAACAATGAAATTCACCTTGACACCTTCCTCTTACATCCGGAGTGCTCAGTGTTCCATGCCGAAATGTTTGCTGTTTACAAAGCCATCGAATTTTGTAACAGAAAGTTTAATAATTGTAATATCTCCATTCTTTCGGTTAGCAATGCTACTGTCCAGGTTCTAACCAATAATGATACCACTCATCTCATTGCAAGAGAGACTGTTTTCTGCCAACCCGTCTAATAACAAATTTTACATCAAATTGATTAAAGGACACTGTAGCACTCCGGGCAACGAACGTACAGACATGGTTGCACGTACAACAACCATGCTCGCAGACATCATTCAAGCATACAATCAACTTCCGGTTTCAAGACTAAAACAACTCCTGTGGCATCAGAGTGTTGCTAGATAGCAGGAGGAATGGGAGTAAACTCTGGAATCGCACATCACTCGACAATTCTTTCCAGATGTCGAAAGATAACTCAAGTGGCAGTGGCTTCACACTGAACACTGCAGTTCGCAACTTCTTACAGAGCACGGGAAATTTAACGCCTACCTGTATAGGTTTCGGCACAGTGACACTGACTGTTGCCCTATCTGTGCGGTGCGTGATGGGGTCAAACGTTATCTGTTGTCGTGCCTAATATTGGAAAATATAAGATACAAACTCAAGCTCTACATAGAAGAAGACAACCTGAGTTGGCCATGTAAGCCAGAACACCTTGTGTCAAGCAAAAAGTACTTTTTTCTTTTTCAAGAAATGGTTAAACTTTATTTCATCAGAACATTAATACACTAATTATTGTTTTACTGATTTAGCTTCATTGTATCGCCAAAGACCTTTCATGATCTTCTGCTAGTGTACTATGGTCTTTTTTGTGTTGGTTGCTGCACAAAGTCTGCACTGTGCTCTCATCCTGGCCTATGTTCTACGGGTGATTTCATCTGTTTTATCTGAGCTCTCTTGAGGAACTCCTATGTACTTACTGTGTGTACGTTGATGCATAAGGTCTGTGCAGTGTTTGTAACCTGGTCCTCTGTTTATAAGCGGATTCTGCTTATCTTGTCTCATGCAATTTATGCTGTTATATTGTCATTATAATTGTCATTATCATACACATTGTCGGTTCTATTGCTCGGCATGTAACACCACTCTACTCCATGTCTTTCTACCCTAAATATGCCTAGCGGTATCGGGAGAAATAAAGCTTATTTTCTCTGTCTGTCTGTCTGTCCTACTTGAAGGGTTTGGAGATTGTAAAAATGCACGTTAAGTGGAGGCGTCCGCTATTCCGGAGTGTCCGTTAATATTGTAGAATAAAGAGATAAGCTAGAGCCGAAGTGTTTTAAAAAATATTCTGCCCATAGAAATAAATTAAATATTTATGAAAAACGAATTAAAATTTAAGTGAAAAATAAGTAACTATATTATAATAACTATTTTAAAAATATATTGTGTTTAATTTCCATTTGTATAAGTTAAAATGATAGCTTTGAATACAAATGAAGTATATAAAAATTTGCGTGTGTATTCTTTGAAAAGATATTTTCATGCAAATAAGTTCGGCAAACACTAGTACGCGACAACACTAAAGCTACGTGCTTCTCTTCGAAAACGGCGGTCGTAGTCGCGTGACAAAAGCACAATCATAGCTAAGTTGTAATTGGTTAAAGTGTGACACCCGCCGATAGCGTGGAACCCAGACACGTTTCAATCGATTATCCGAAACGAAACCTACATGACGTGATTTGTCTAAGATTCGTTAACAAGGAAACTATCGAACATCTTGTGTATCCCTTTCGTTGAGTTATCAGACGAGCACTATTCCACACCATGCAGGCAAATGCTATGTGCTACCTGTCGCAGTAAAGGCGTAATGGAGCTTCTATTTCGCGCTATAACACTGTCGGAGTAATTCGATGAATATAATATAAAAAAATAAAAAAAAAAAGTCCTAACCACTGCGGAAGACAGTAGACACGTGACCATCCTCCAGCACGCATGCTCAGTAGATGTCCTCCCAGATCAGTAAGACGACGGAAAGGCAAATGAACCGAAATTGGACGGAAGAAGAAAAATCGACCGACGGAAACGTTTAAAGAAAACAAATATAAACAACGTAAACAAAAGTAAGATAAACGTACGATGAGTAAGAGTAAAAGTTACACTCATTACGACGGTAAAATAGCCGGCCTCTATGATCTGGGCGACACTCTTGGCCGCGGCCATTTTGCTGTTGTCAAATTGGCCAAACACGTCTTCACCGGAGAACAAGTTGCAGTCAAAGTGATCGACAAAACCAAATTAGATGAAGTGTCCAGAGCCCATCTGTTTCAGGAGGTCCGGTGCATGAAGCTCGTGCAGCATCCCAACGTGGTTAGATTGTATGAGGTCATAGACACTCAGACCAAACTCTACCTGATCCTGGAGTTAGGAGACGGTGGTGATATGTACGATTATATTATGAAACACGAAAAGGGAGTCGACGAGGAAACTGCCAAAAAATATTTTAGGCAAATAGTCCATGCCATATCGTATTGCCATAGGTTGCATGTTGTACACAGAGATTTAAAGCCAGAGAATGTTGTCTTTTTCGAAAAATTAGGTATGGTTAAATTGACTGATTTCGGTTTCAGTAATAAGTTCTGCCCCGGACAGAAGTTGGAGACTTCCTGCGGTTCCCTGGCTTATTCGGCGCCGGAGATACTGCTCGGCGATTCCTACGACGCTCCCAAAGTTGGTAAGTTTATCAGAATCCGGTTAATAATAAGTTTTGACTCGTCTTTTAGAATTATTTATAATGTACGCGTATGTTCGGCAAGATTCTAAAATGTTTTCCCTCCAGGGTATTTACGGTAAACATTACGCATGCTTAATATGTTACGTAGGATTCAAGTTTATATATAGAATGAAATGCTGAGGATTTATTCAGTGAAGCCAAATAGTTACGTCTAATTGTTAATGACGCGCGTGTTTGTTTACTTACATTTAAGCTTAGATATTTAATATTGCTGCTGTGACAGATCTTTGCTTGAAAATACAGTAGTTTGTAATTCATTATAAAATATAAATTTAAAGTTTTAATATTTAAAAATGATCTTATTAATGTTATATATATATATATATGTATAATTCATAATCCCTTATTTTATAAATAAGCTGATATTTGTAAATTACAAAATCAATACTAATGTAAACAAAATAATTACTTGCATGACTGTTTTTATTTTTGTTGTTAGCTATCTTTAGATACAAAATGAAATTATATTTTAATTAAATAATTATCTGAAAACTACTGATTGGTGGAGATATATGAGGCTTATCAAACTGTATTGAAACATAGGAAAATGATATTTTGTTCCTTTTTTGAGGGTTTAATGAATGAAAATTTTGGACTAGACAGAAAATTGAAATATAAAATTGAAGATTTTAGAAAAAAAGTTTTTCTAACTAATGACTTATTAATTTAGCAATCAGATTTGAGTCCTAACAGATCTAATAAAGTTCAAGGAGTTGCAGTGCGACTCCTTGAACTTATTAGTCCTATTAGGATTTTTAAGCTTGTATTTATTGGAATAACTATCCATTTTGTATGCATTTGTGAATTTCAAGGAAATATTGATGATCAGGATGTAACAAACTTAATATGGTTGCAAATGTAAAGGATGATGATAAGTCTCATAACTATAAAACAGCTTGCCTGCAGAATTTGGAAGCTGTTGTATATAGTCCTATAAAATAAAGTTTAGTTCACTGCAAATGTATACATTCTAGATAACAACAAACTGTTTAGCATTATAAAAAAAATTATATTAAACATAAATTAATAAAATGTAATTAACAGAAAAGTACACAGTATTATTTTTAAAGTACTTGCAATTACAATGGCATACATATACGTGGTTGGAATTGAACTTAATGCTTTCTTCATGAAGGCTAATAAAATTGAAACATAATCAGTGACACAGTTTTACCAAATTAATCTTTCATGTTTATGCTTAATAATTGAAGTAATATTTCTTTAAATAATTGAAAATATTTTAAAACAGTTTGTTT